GTGTCTTTCTCAAGAGCCCGTCTGTGCCGTGAGAGCCAGGAATGGGGGTAAGGCTTGAAGCAGGGTCACTCACTATATGGCCTTTATAAAGAATGTTCCGGATAGACACGTAAAGGTCACAATCTGTTGTCACAAGTTGTGTATTTATTTTCAGCCTTCCCTACTGTCTTGTTTACATATGTTATACTCTTTTTTCCATTGACACTGTAAATATATTTTCAGACCTCCCACGTTTTTAACAATTTGTGCTATTGTAAAAATAGTACACTTTCTGATGGAAAGATCACAAGCTTATTGATGTGCGTGCGCGCGTGTGTGTGTGTGTGTGTGTGTGTGTTTGCTTGCATCAGATCACATTTACATCCTGTTCTGGGACCCTTCTTATTTTCATGCCCTGCTTTGTTCCAGTCTGAACGTAGCCGTAACTAGTCACACTTTTGCCTTTTTTATACAGCTTACCAAAAAGCACTGGATTTAACAAGCAACCAAAACATTGACTCATAGCGAAAGCAAGTCAAGCTCAAACCATTTCAACTTTGTTTATTTATTGATATTTACCGTGTGAATAGTTATTATCACCAAGCACAGACCTGTGTGACCTGTCTCCTGACTTGGCCTGTGTCCACAGCTCTATCTGTTATTACTGTGGCGTCATTGGTATGTGTTGGGACGTGACTGACATGTTCCAGCTGTACAGGCTAAAAATGTTTTTGAATGCAGAATCACTGCAGCGTCCAGCAGGTCAAGATGTTCCTAATATAGCCGAGACATTTCCTGAGAGACAGCGAGTGATTAAAACACCTCATATTAGTAGGCATATGTAGGCCTTGTTGAATTAGATTTTAATTGATTCTCCACAATGGTTTAATTCCTTATGATCTATCCATCTATCCATCCATCCTGTAATTCAAGATATTCAAGAAAATATATTTTATGTATATTATGTATAAGATGTTTTGGTATATGTGCTATTAGATAGATAGATAGATAGACAGACAGACAGACAGACAGACAGACAGACAGACAGACAGACAGACAGACAGACAGACAGATAGATAGATAGATAGATAGATAGATAGATAGATAGATAGATAGATAGATAGATAGATAGATAGATAGATAGATAGATAGATAGATAGATAGATAGATAGATAGATAGATAGATAGATGGGGATGGATGGATAGATAGATATTATAGTATTATAGTAACACAATTTATTATTTTTAGAACTTTCATATACGATTATATAATTTATATATAGTAAACTATATTTACTATATTATAGTTATGTAGCCTAGTTATAGTTATGTAAAAAAAACTGTCATATAAAATTAAATTGTTTTTGGGCGTGTTCAAAAATCCTATTCCTTTTCTTTAAACGAAAACAAAGGATCGAATGCACTCATGTACACATTCCCGCGTAAGTAACATATAAAAAATTGCATAACACTGCGCAACAGTATCAACACAAACTTTCCCCTGATTCTATCTAATGAAGGGTGGGTGTGTCCGCTCGCCTCTGCCTCGCAGCGATTGGCTGAGCCACCTGTCAATCAGTGGGCGTGTGCGCTCGTGTTTTCGCATACTTCTCCTTTATACCTCAAGGCTTGAGCATCAAAATAAAGCACTAACACATAAAACGCGGACAATGAGGGGTGCCAGCCGGTCCAAAAACACGCAGATTCTGGATAAGAGGGGTAAGGAACATGAGGTTATGGCTGTTCTATGGCGGAAGCAGCTGGTATTGTGTACGCGACGAGGAAGAAGTAAACAAGACTCTGTCACGTAGGCGCGTGTGTGTTGGACTCAACAGTCCACGAGCTGTTTATTTGAGCATGATTATATATATATATATATGGCCTGTTAATAATATACTCACATAACCTATGGTTATACATTGATGTAAACCATGCATGTGGTCTAAAAATAAACTGACGCTGTGTTCTGTGTAATGCATTGAATGAATGAAGATAAGCACATAGTGTTCAGGTCATGTGCTGCATGCATTGAAATGCATTGAGGTTTTATGTGCACCAAAGATCGATTTCATTTGGGCTGTGAAGCGTTTTGTGTAATTTAAGTAGTGTTTGTGTTGGGCATGTCATTCATGCTGTGGAGGAGTTGAGGTCAAATCATGGCCATATTTGTTAGATTACTGACGTGGAGGTAAACTGCAGCTTGTCCAGTTGTAAAAATAGAATACTATGACCTAGAGAGAAGACAAAAATCAGCAGGATTTTATCATTAAGGTTATCAGCAAATGAGAAATATTATAACGAACACAGCTACTGTAGCATTTCTTCCAGATTTGTTCAAATAACAGGAAAATGAGGAGCTTGACATGCAGTAATGCATAGCAATTTGGGCTGGTAATTAAATGGTTGTAGGTTTGTATCCCTAAAGTATCCATGAAGTATCGCCGAATCCATTGTGATGGGAAAGTCAGTCAGATTCCAAACTAGTACACATAAGAACTAAAGCCAATGGAATCACAAATCAGAGATTTCAAGCTATGACAGTTTATCATATGTTACCAGTAGGAGACAAGATAAGCTGTTTTTGGTGATTATGATATGATTTGAGAGATTATGATTTGTTGTTTGCAGAATGACTTTAACATATTCCACACCCACTTTTCCTCGACCCACCAGGTCGAGTTTTCCCAGGAAATCTGAATGCTGATATACGCGTCTGATTTACTACCTGCAAAATATGATTCATAGTTTGACAATAGACTCTATTGTATAATAAAATCTAGAATTGGGAGTGAAATGTATGATTGTAGAGGTTTTGTGGTTTACTAGTTCCTTATCCAGAACAGCTTAGTTTCAGTTGAAGGATCTGTTGCAAGTCATGGTTGTTTTTTCCCATTTTTTAAGAAAATGTTTACGCTACCAGGAGAAAAGTCTGTTACTAATACATGTGTGTTGTTAAATATGAAACTGTCCTTTAACTTAAGCTGATCTATTGATGTGTTTGCTGAAAAAAGCAATCTAACATTGCGTAGCCTCACTGTTTTTCTACCTTAGATGATCTGTTAACACATTTCAGTGCCAAGACATTGTGCACTGATGATGTTTCTCACAAATCACTGTTATTATCAAGCTATACTCACAGCTGAAGTCAAATCCCCTACCCACAATCCATAGGGTGCGTAGCCAACATGTCTCTTTCTTGCCATCTAGTGGATAATTTGTGTGTAGTATTATGACTTTGACTTTACTTTAACTTCCAAAATGTAAGAAAAAGAAGGTTCTGACATTTTTTTTAGCCTTAAAATATATTATTGTAATTGGCTGCAGTTTTTGAAGGGCAGTGGTTTGATGTTTTAGGTTTAAGCTGAGTCTATGATCTTTCACACTGCTAATTTTGAAGGTGAACTTTGACCTAATTTACATTATTTTGCAACTGCGTTTAATACAAGCATCATCTTTATGTCCTAATGTCCCTGGGACAACAGGTTTTACGGGATAGTCGGATTTTTCCAGTTTTCTTACTGATCTATCCATGTTACAGCTTGCCAACACACTGCAAAGGCCATTGGAAAATGATCAGTGTAAACCAGTACCGTTTGTTTTTTTGTGTGCATTTAATTTAATTTAGGAATTTAAGTCTCAGACATGTATATTAATTTTGTAAATAGTTTCAAAATTACACTAAAACATTCAAATAATAAAAAAGTCTATAAAAAAATAATTCAAATGTCCAGTACCACATGGCGCTCGGATTAGCAATTGAAAAAGCCTACTGTGTCATATTCGATATGCAAATTTCTAAGGCCTCAGATTAGCAACATGATCAAAAACTTTGCTTAAAAATCTGTTTTTACAATATACTATGTCTTCTGTCATCAGATTGATAGTTAATGCTTTTTTTTTTTTTTTTTTTAAAGGCCTTTTAGTGCAATCCTAAAAACGTCCCTCTTCAGGTTGTGGTTTGCATGCCTTTTTGTTGTGAAATCGTTAATTATTAGTAAACATTAAATATTAATTACAAGATGAACGTTTACTCGACTGAAGCTACTTCCGTTTACGTGATTATTCATTCATTAGTTTTTTGGAAAATCATGTTAAAATGTAGGCTATGTATCAAAGACGATGCAACAGGCTTTGAATCTCTAAATCTTTGGATTGCATTATGTTTTGCCCCCCACAATTAAAACTACAGAGCTTTGATCATAAAACTAAGCATTTAAATATCATCTTATAAGACACATTATTGGGGGACGTAGAGTGGCAACTCATATTCAGTAAACTGATCCATTTAAAAGTATATATTTTCCTCTTACTATTATTTAATGTCAGGCTTTACAGGGTTAAAAATACCATTAGGCTATATAATGCAAATGTTGCTATTAGAACTAAAAAAGAATAATCAAAAGGGCGATTTTTTTTTTTAGCTTACTGGTGAAATTTGTAAACTAAAAATGATAATAATTTAAATCGAGAATCCAAAATAATTGTATCTTAAAGTATCTTTCACACAGCGCGTTGATCTCAGGAAATTATTAAAAATTGCTAGAGTGCCTTCTGTGTGAACCGGGATGGGGACCTATAACATTGCAGGTATTGTCCCGAATTTCGACCATAGACAGTAAAAGAAAGATTTCGACCCCTTTCCAAATGATTACACCCCTCGTTGAAGTCAGTACCTGATTGCCTAATCCTAACCCCACCCCTAATCCTAACCCCCTCCCCCACAACGCTGAGCAATATCCAGTAACCACAAACGACTGATGACTAGTCTACCCACAACAGCGCTGAGAAAAGTAACGGATACCACGTGACCACGTCGTCTATTCAACAGAATGGATAGAATGATCATTACACCGACCGACGAACAATTATAACTGTTGCGTTGAAAATAGAATATAAATCCAGTAAACCACATATTTTAGGAAGCATTATATCTGTCCTACGCTTAATCACTATGTTAAAAATGTACACCTGGCATTACGGTAAAGTGTCGTAGCTGCGCATCTCTTCGTGCCTTTACGGTAGGGCCGTTCCCTACCAGTCTCATGACATTCTTCCCCGCTGTCTTTAGTGCGCACTGACGGTAATGGACGTTCGTGTGTTGAGACGACGAATATAATGAGTGTAATAGAGAACAACACGGAGCAATGCGGAAATAGTCTAACCCGAGAGCTCACACAGAATCCTTTAAAGAAAATATGGGTGCCATCCTCCAAAAACGGCCTTCCAGAGAGACACATTAGTCAAAGAAAGGGTAAGTATGGATGAAAGGATGAGAGCCGGACACTGATGCTGGAGTCGGATGAGGGTTAAAGGGGCTTTCTGATGCAATACTTCAATGGTGATACAATTTAACAATTGTCTGAAACAAATCTAGAGGCTTTTTGTGTGATTGCATTTTTTAAATTAAACATTAAATGCGATTTAAGAAGATTACATACATTGAAATGAATGATTATGAGTTATGTATATTTGTAAATAACGTTCATTATAACAATGTAAATTGTCACATAATATTCCGCAGTTCACTAGTAAATGCATTTTCAAATAAACTATATAAATATATAGTCATACTAAAAATAATAGCCTAATAATAATAATTATATAAAAATGAAATTATTTCACATATGTTCAGCGTTCCCACGGTAAAAACCTGGAAATATTAGGGAATTTAAAAATGATGTTTTCTATGCCAGGGAAAGTCATGGATATTAATAACATCTTAAAAGTCATGGAAATCTTTATAATAAAAGTAAAACAAATGATCAGTTATGCTCTGCTCTAAAATATTTCAACGGCTAAATATTGCTCTTGTAAAACTATTCTGTTCTTGATTTGTTAAAGAACTGTTTCACCTCTCAAAAGCTATACGAATATCAATATTGGTGTATTTCTTTAAATACTTTATAATTTAAAAAGTACAGACAGACCAAGAACAATAATTTTCAAACATTTTAGATTGCAGCAATTTGCAGGACTATGTGGACATCGATATGATATTATGCAATTTGATGTGGAGATACCAAAATGACTTATGCTCTACAATGACAACTCAGATTTTATTAATGCAATAAAAAGGTCAGCTAAACTGCACACATAGATTAAAACATTTCTGTGTAAACACCATTTGGTGTGATGAATGACAGATCACCTGTAGTATATGTGGAGAATATTATTGTCAAACATATCTCCTAAGTGTTTATGAGCTGCTTTTCTTTTTTCTTCCAGTATGCATGACCAACTGCCCCACACTTATAGTAACCGTGGGTCTCCCGGCCAGAGGAAAGACCTACATCTCCAAGAAACTGACACGCTACCTCAACTGGATTGATGTTCCGACGAAAGGTACAAAGCACATGCAGTGTGATTCTCATATAAAATGATGATTTGTGACGGCTGTTTAAATGCTGGCCAAGCGTTTATCATCAGAATATCATCAGTGGCTTTGCTGATCCTGAAATTGGTTTGTCTTGTTTTTTTTTTTACTTCCGCAGAGTTTAACGTTGGGCAGTACAGACGTGAATGTGTGAAGATATACAAATCCTTTGAGTTCTTCAGGCCAGATAATGAAGAGGGGCTTAAAATAAGGAAGTAAGACATAGTTTATCAATGGTGGCCTTTTAAAATATGAAATAAAACCACAGGTTTAAAAATGCTAAGAGTATTTAGAAGCTCATGTGATTTCTTGTCTCTTTTAGGCAGTGTGCACTGGCAGCTCTCAATGACGTTCGGCAGTTCCTCACAGATGAAGGCGGCCAGGTGGCGGTAAGGAAAACATTATTTCAACACATTGAATTGAACAGAGAATTTTATACAAATACTGTAAGTATAAGTTATCTAGGCTAAGTTAACATTATTCCGTATAGGGACGTCACGCCATTTGGAGCAGCCATCTTGACGGAATAGAAAGTGCTAAGCCGCCGGTGATAATACAGCTCGTCGCGAAATATTCCTATCATGCCCGAGCGATGCTGTGTATTTGGATGCGATCAGATACGTGATCATACAAAAGGAATATCTTTATACCGTATCCCAAAAGAAACAAAACGGAGAAAAGTGGTTGGTGGCAATAAACAGGCAAAACGCATACATGCATTCCTAGATCAGTTAATTCGTTAGGCCTATTATCACATTACATTCTTTCGTTTTCAAATACCAAAAGCTGATCTTGTATTTTATTTGACACTTCTTATAAATCGTTAGAAACACAGGTTGAGACAACAGTCTCAATGACAGTTTATCATACTACAGTGACAGTCAGTGATAAGTATAAAAAGTATAAGCATAGGCTATTATTTCGTTTTTCTTGGATCAAAATAGATTAAACAAATTCATTAAAGATACACTTAATCTTGTTGGTGATTTTGTTTTGTGTTTTTGCCTGTAAACTCAGTTTAAAAATTATTACAGGTACTATAATTTGGTGATAAAAATACATTGACCAACCTTTGCGGTGATGATTGAAAAATAATTTTCTTTTAATGAAGCTCCGGTGTAGCGTGATGGCAGTGAATAAGGTAGCTGTAATGTCACCGAACTCAATGTCAGGAAGTTTTTCTACACATTTAATGCCTGTAAAAAGAACTTGTGGTGCTTCATATGAATATATGATTCCTAATTCCTTTATCTTCCTCTTGTATATTTATTTTTGTGATGCTAATAATAAGTGCGATGACATGACGTGGTGGGGGAAAAGGTCGATTCTGTTCAGTATTGAGATATTTTGCACCATGATTTTACGCATGCAATTATATCAATACTGTAGCGCAAAGTATTGCAATATTTAGGCTAATTATACTAATAATTATATTATTAGTATAATAATATACTAATAATTATATTCATAATTACCGTCAAAATGGCTAGGGGTCACGTGACTGGGAGATCCCTATACATTTAAACACGCATTTAGATACCACACTTAGATATCTATAACGTTAACTATATTAGCGTCCACACTAGCGATCTATATCGTTCTGTTTATTCTAAGCGTGCACTGCAGTTTTGTTGTATGTTACTTTAAATGCTCAAGCTCTTTAAAGCAGGATGGATTCAGATTGGATGTCAATGTTTCGACGTATTGTTCATCAGCTGGAAATAATCGTTCTGAAAGTGATTCCAATGATATAGTTGTTTTGTGCCATTATCGTTATACACTCTGCCTTTCTTTTATATTTAGAATGATTTGTAGAACTACATCTTTTTTGTTATCGTTAAAGTTATCCTCCTTGGTATGACCGGGCCTTAAGACGGCGGTTTTATCCTGTGAAAACTGAGCTTTTTGAAGACGCTTTCCCAAGTTGATAAATTTGAAAACACTGTTTTGATGTTGTTGTGTGGACTGTGAAAACAGAGGTATTTCAAAACCATGATGCATGTTTAGTCATGTAATGCATATTGTACCTATAGATATCTATGGCTGTACCAGCATGGGCCTGCTACGTGCGGTTCACTTTCACAGTGTTGCTAAAGATACATGTTACTTTGTACAATCTTAATATTATATTCCTGCAAAGATGACAGAAAATTTGAGTTGATGTTGAAAACACCACTTTCAAATGGCATGTATCCAGATTAATATGGACGTAGCTTAGACGTAGGTGTCGTGTTGGCGGCCCTGAGTTAATGGCTAGTGGTCGTTGGGACGGAAGTGAATCAATTAAAACTTAACTTTAGCTGGAAAATAACTTTATTCTAGAGCTGTCATAAAGCCAAAACAATCTCTGTTACTTTAATTTCCTATTATCACTGTAAAGCAGCTTTGGAACAATCTACGTTGTTAAAAGCGATATATAAATGAAGATGACTTGACTAGTATATTAGGTGTGTCCCAATATTTGCACTCATGCACTATTCTATTCCGTTTTGTAGTGTAAATAGACCTTATTCACTGCAGTTTAAACGCCTGGATAATTCACTTAACCTAAAAAATGAAGTGTGGAATGTTGGACACTTTATGCACTCAACTGTTGCAGCTTTAATTACCGGTATGTAGCGGTACATACAAAATAACCTTATACAATTTATACACTACACGGTTGAGTACATAGTGAATAAGTGTATAGTGCGTCATTTAGGACACAACTATTTTCTCTCTTTAGCTCCAACTTAACCTCTGGCCATGTTGATCTTCATTTCTTTGTTTTTGTTTTATGCATTTACCCTTTTTTGCTTTACAATCTTCAGGTTTTTGATGCCACAAACACAACAAGAGAGAGGAGAGAGACAATCATCAGATTTGCAGAGCAGAATGGTTTCAAGGTGCTGGAAATTGAATAATTCATCTACGATGTTTATCTCATGTGTTTCTCACTTCAGCGGTTTTAAAACACTCTTTTCACATCACAGGTTTTCTTTGTAGAATCTGTGTGTGAAGACCCTGACGTTATTGCAGAGAACATTGTGGTAAGTCTCAGAAAAGCAGAATGTTTTTTTCTCACCTTGTTTTGACTGTTTTGGGCCTAAATTTGTGGTTTTGGTTTTCAGCAAGTGAAGTTGGGCAGCCCAGACTACACGCACTGTAACACAGAAGAGGCTGTAGCAGACTTTATGAAGAGGATAAAATGTTATGAAAACTCCTATCAGCCACTGGATGAGGAACTGGACCGGTAAATGCCATTTTGGTGCTGTTGAATTAAATCCAATCTATCTTGAATCCATGAATTTAACCTCTTTTTTTGTTTTGGTGTGTTCAGGGACCTTTCGTTCATAAAGATCATCGATGTGGGAAGGCGGTACCTAGTAAACCGGGTTCAGGACCACATACAGAGCCGAATAGTTTACTACCTCATGAACATCCACATCACACCCCGCTCCATCTACTTGTGCCGGCATGGAGAGAGTGATCTGAACGTCAAAGGTCGTATCGGAGGAGATTCAGGCCTTTCGGCAAGGGGAAAGCAGGTAAGCTGTTAAGGCCTATTTACATCGAGCTATTGTTTTTAGCTTAACAAACAAGCAGAAAAATAGCTTGAGGCTTGACGGTCTTGAAATATGCTGTTGTGGGAGCATTTCTAACAGTAAGAGGAAGTGCATTCCATAACCTGGGTGCAGTGACTGAGAAAGCTCTCTCCCCTATTAATTTTAATCTACAAGGAGGCTCCTGAAGAGGAGGAGAATCAGCAGAACGAAGAGAACAAGAAGGCGTGTACAGGGTGACTAAGTCACAGATATAAGAGGAGCTATTCCATGCCTAGCCTTGTATGTTAGTGTGAGAGTTTTAAAAACGACACGCGACTGAACAAGAAGCCAATGCATACTATAAAGCACACCTGTGATGCTTGAACATGTGTTGCTTAAAGTAACAACAGGTAACTTTTCAGCCTTCATAATATATTTCCAAGTCTCTTGTGATGGTACATCGACTTACAATAGGTTGAATGACACGTCTGCCATAGCCTGACGGGGTCTGTAGCGTTTTTAATCGTACTTTTAAACTTCGGGTTTCGGGTAGTAACCGGCGAACAAAGAGAACTACAAAATTCGACTGCTTTACGGCATATACGTCACTTCCACCACCACCCCCACTTCCTTAAAATCGGACTTGCGAGCCAAATGTTATAGTCATGGCCGAAGCAGCACAGAAAAACAAGAAAGCAAAGGTTTTATCGGAGCAAAGCAAAAAGAGAAAAAGAGAAAGTGATCGCGTTAAAGGCAGAACGAGGATCAACATTGCAGAGCTGCCAACTCTCACGCATTGGCCGTGAGACACCCGCTTTTGATTGGTTTCACACGCTCACACGCCACACACCCGGTTTCTCACGCTAAATTGTCAACCCGGTCGGTCAAATGCCTGAAAGATGAGTTTATCTATAGATCTCTACCTGTTGAGCCACTCGTGATCGACAAGTTATACCGCAAATTAGTTCAAATCTCCCGGAATCTAGAGCGAGCGCGCACGCGAGACAGAGACTGTGCTCCAACGCGCGCGGACGGCAGAGAGAGAAAGCGAGCGAGCGAGAGACCTTGCGTGTGCAGGGAGCATCGAACCCTCCATCGAAAAAAGAATGCCTCTCTCTAACCTCTCTAATTCGCTAGAGTAGTAGCGAATTATCAATCTGGTAGCTAGTAAACGATATTCTAGTTTTTGATGGTTAGCTATCGCTAGTATTCTCGTTCTGATTTGAACTTTGCAATCGATGAAATGCCAATAGCAAATGTTTGACCTAAAAAGTGTAGTCTACTCAACATGTACAAAGAAAGGAGGAAGATTATTAATAAAATCATATTTTAGGATACCTAACATGTCTGTGATATTTGTTTATTTGTCTTGCCTCAAGCTATAATGCAAATCGATTTGTAAAATTTGCAGATTCATTTATGGTAGCTTGATATTATAATATTGACGATATATGGTTATTATCAACCACTCAAACATTGCATTGAAGTATCATATAGATTCAGTAAAACGGTAACCAATAGACTAGGCTACTATAATGATGCTGGCTTGTAAACGCGATCATTTGTCGTTATAAAAAAAATAAAACACATGAAATTATATTCATATGACATGCTGAAATATATGCCACTGTACCTGGGATGAAGACATTTCACACACGCGAGAACACCTGCATGTGACCTCCTCCTACAGTGTTCAGGGCTATCATGGTTGTCAACAAATGCACGTGCATGTAGGATGACAGTTTACGACAGTAGTAGAGGACAATACTGTTTCCCAACTGTAGGGGGAGCCCGAGAGCAAAAAACGACCTGTTGTTACTTTAATTCTGGATATACTGCAGCTGTTTGATTGATTTAGCAGTTAAACCAACAAATAGTTTAGTACAATAATCAATCCGGGAAGTAACAAATGTGCAAATTAGCCTTTCGGCATCAGGCAGAGTGAGAGTAAGGCCTAATTCTAGCAATGTTTGGTGAATGCATAGATGATCAAGTTTAAATATTAATATGTGAGTCTAATGTCAGATGAGAATTAGAGAAAAATTAAGAAAATATAAATCATGGTTTCCACAAAAATATTAAGCAGCACAACTGTTTCCAAAATGTTTCTTGAGCACCAAATCAGCATATTAGGATGATTTCTGAAGGATCATGACACTGAAGACTAAAGGAATAAATTACATTTTAAAATATATTAAAATAGAAAACTATTTTAAATTGTAGAAATATTTCAAAATATGACTGTTTTTACTGCATTTTTTATTAAATAAATGCAGCCTTGCTGAGCATAACAGACTTCAAAAAAAAAATGTTACTGACCCCAAACTTTTTGAACAGTAGTGTAGATTAATGGATATATTAATAAACGTTAGACATTATAATAATTTAATACTCAAATGCACTGGATCCAGAAACCAACAGTGTGAATTGAACACTTGCATCAGTTCAAATGATTGATTGTATTTTTTATTTATTTCTACAAAACTGACCTCAGCTGAACAGTGACACGATTTTCTTTTTAGAGCTGCTTTACAGCTGGATTGAACTCATTGAATCATTATTTTGAATTATTAATCATGTTTATCCCTGTAAAGCCACTTTGAAAAACAATCTGCATTGTATAAAGCAACAAAGCTCACTTGACTTGACAAAACAGTATAACAGGTTTATATCTGCCATTTATCAGTTATTAGCCATAACATGCAAGTAATTATCAGTCCAACTGAAGTGTCTGTGCTTCTGTGTTAGTTAGCAATTAAAACCTGTTTTGTTTTTCATTCCCTCTCAGTTTGCTGACGCTTTGGGCCAGTTTATCCAGTCGCAGAGTATCAGTGATTTGAAGGTGTGGACGAGTCAGATGAAGAGGACCATACAGACGGCAGAAGCTGTGGATGTACCATATGAACAGTGGAAAGCTCTCAATGAGATAGATGCCGTAAGTATCTTGTTTATGAATGTTAAACAAAATCTGCCCTTATTTTCGGGATATTGTGTTAATGGACTCCGTTGATTCTCTGTGTGTGTGTGTGTGTGTGTTTAGGGTGTTTGCGAGGAGCTCATGTATGAGGAGATCCAGCTAAAGTTTCCTCTGGAGTTTGCATTACGGGACCAGGACAAATATCGTTATCGCTATCCCAAAGGAGAGGTCAGTTTACATGAAATCAGTTTTCTTTTAATCAGTGCATTTGCCACATACATCATAGCGAGATGTATTTTAGCTTTCATATTTTATCATTCGGTGTTTGTGTTGCTCTTTTATGTCCCTTTGGCGACAAAGAGCTTTTCCTCGCATTTTAAACACTCATCAAATAAATGTTGCTGGTTGGTTGCTAGGCTCTCTATTACTCGTGGCCAAATCCTCCCAAATGGAGTAAACAAGTCTCTTTTTTAGGCTGTATTGAAGTTGTTCCCAAACTGCCTAATTGACATTTTCATTCGGTGTTATTACTCTGACTGAGCACATCAGACACAATTACCCTGCGCCCGCCGCACATACACGCTTCCATTTGCTCCTCTCATCTGCCAGGTTGTGTGTGTGTGTGTGTCTGTTCTTCAGAGCAGTTCTCATTTAGATCAATATCTCAAACCTGTTTACTCAGAGAGTGTTAAAGCAGTTCACTGTTCTCACTATATTAGATAAAGACTGGGTGCAAGGTCCTCGTCATATGTTTAAGTTTGTGTGTGCTGTAAGGTTAAGGGTGTGTGGATTAGGACTACACATCATTTAATATCAATTAACTTTGTAATATTACAGTTGCGCATGTCAATTGTTGTTAGATGCGAGAGCAGTTTCTGTGAACGTATGATTTGAACTGAAGGGAACTCTCTTACTGTGCACTACCAAAACATTCGTGTTTGATAATAGGTCTCTTATTTAATATAATGAGTTTTAATGGATTTAATGATCAGTGTTTAGTGAAAATCATCCGACATCAATTGAAAAATGCATAGATTAATAGAGATATTAATCTTTGGATTTGAAGAATCGTATATCAGATTGTTTAAATGAACATCTCTCTCCTCACAGTCCTATGAAGACTTGGTCCAGCGTCTGGAACCCGTGATCATGGAGTTAGAGCGGCAGGAAAACGTTCTGGTCATCTGTCATCAAGCCGTCATGAGATGCCTGCTGGCCTACTTTCTGGACAAGACTGCAGGTGATGACCACCATGACACCACTCATGAAGAGACTGATACACGTATCTCTTATTAAATCCCAGTTCACTTGCACTGATGAGTAAAAAGGAATCTAAAGTCTTCCTGTTTGCTGTGTTTTTCGTCTCCTGCAGAGGAACTTCCATATCTGAAATGCCCTCTACACACAGTATTGAAGTTAACACCAGTGGCCTATGGTAAGGCAGGAAATCTTTCTCGACTAACCTGGGCATTATTCTTTAAATAATGCTTTTCAAGTGTTGATTGTGAATCTTCCTGTGTCTTCAGGCTGTAAGGTGGAGTCAGTCTGTTTGAAAGTCGAGGCTGTTAATACACACAGAGACAGACCTACGGTAAGACTCATAAATGCAGTCACTTAGGTGGTTAAAAGCTTCCCCATCTGTTGTGGCTGAAGGGAAAGTGTGCAGTCAGTCTGTAGTTACACTTGAGAACTCTTCTGTGTAATAAAGTGATTAAGCCTCGTGGTCTCCTGGGCCTCAGCCGTTGCATGATAAATGTGGTCTTCGGCTCATTGATGAATTTACCCAGGGTGAAACACATTATTAGGTTTACTGTAGCATGCCAGTTTATGAAACATATCGCCATTTTTGAGTTTACAACTGGAAGTTTGTTTCTGCCACAGAATAAAAAATAAAAAAGGTAATTCAGAGTTTTTTTTCTTGCAATTCAGAGTTTATATCTCACAATTCTCTCTCATAGTTTTGAGTTTATATCCCGCAATTCTGACTTTTTTTCTTTCTCTCTCTCATAGTTTTGAGTTTATATTCCGCAATTCTGACTTTTTTTCTTTCTCTCTCTCATAGTTTTGAGTTTATATTCTGCAATTCTGACTTTTTTCTTTCTCTCTCTCATAGTTTTGAGTTTATATTCCGCAATTCTGACTTTTTTCTTTCTCTCTCTCATAGTTTTGAGTTTATATCCCGCAATTCTGACTTTTTTTCTTTCTCTCTCTCATAGTTTTGAGTTTATATCCCGCAATTCTGACTTTTTTCTTTCTCTCTCTCATAGTTTTGAGTTTATATCCCGCAATTCTGACTTATTCCTCAGAATTTGCTAGTTTACATTCCGCAATACTGACTTTTTTCTCAGAATTGTCAGATATAAATTGGCAATTGCGCCAAAAAAAGTCAGTTCAAAATTTAGATTTTTTCCCCATGCAATTGTGATTTTATATCTTGCAATTCGGACTTTATAACTTACAGTTCTCACTTTTTTCAGCATTTATCTCACAATTCAGACTTTTTTTATCATAGTTGTAAATTTATATCTCACAATTATGACTTTTTTTCTCAGAACTTTCTAGTTTATATCCTGCAATTATGACTTTTTTGTCAAATATAAACTTGCAGTTGCAACGAAAAAAAGTTAAATTAAAATTCTCTTTTTTTTTCTGTCTTGCAATTGTGAGTTAATATCTTGCAATTCGGACTTTATAATCTCACAATTCTGAATTTTTTCTCAGAACTGTGAGATATAAACTTTCAATTGTGAGATAAAAAGTTGCAATTACCTTTTTTTACCTTTGTATTTCATGGCGGAGACGAGCTTCCATACTCTATCCGGCTGTTTTTTCACATAGCCAAAAGCTCATTGTTTTGGTCTTGTTTTCCTCTTGATTTGTGTGTGGACTGATGCAATTTTTTTTTACGGTTCTGTTACATCGTCGTCACGCACTCACCTCATCTATTAACGTGACGTCATTCCCTGTGTTTGCTTCAAACAGAACGTAGATGTGTCACGGCAGGCGGAAGAGGCTTTGTTAACAGTGCCAGATCATCAATGACAGATCCTTGTTCCTCACACACCATTGTCCCATCCCCATTCCCATTGTTTTTTTAAGGATTGTAGACATTCTAAAATGCATCTACTGCATTGCCTAAAAAACATAGGCAGATTTTACAGCTCAATAAATGCCTTTTGAATTACAACTCGGAAGCGATGAACTCTGAGATAATTATGTACAGAATTAACTTGTTATTCAGTTTGTGTTCCTCTGTTCATTGATGTGTTAATACTAAGCTGCACTTTATCACAAATACACACTGAAGTTTTTCAGTTCCTGCTGCACATGAATGTAACCGCTGCTATGAGGGAACACCAGTCACTCCAGTAGCATGTGCATTTTATTTATTGTGCAGGTAAATGAATGCATTTGTAAATTAGGTTGGGTTTTAGCTGGTTAATTTTACATTATTGTCTTGTTAGTAATTATTCGTCTCTTCATAATTTAGGAATGTGTATTGTGTATATAAGAATGGTGAAGTTTTGTAGCTGGCAGAGCCTTATTGTGCTCTTGGAAGAAAGACATTTTAGATTTTACGTACTAATTCATAGTCATTTTTTCAATTATTTGAAACACTAAGGAATGTCATGATGTGAAACTGTCCTCTTCTGGTTACTGAGGAGGAAAAATCTCTACTGTAATGTCTATTTGCGATGCTAATAAAATGTATTTGAATAGTGAAATCCTGTCTCTCTTTACATTCACTCACAATTCTGTCTGTCGTTAAAGAACAAAGACAGAACAGCTTCTGACACATAATTGCAATACACTGCAAAATTTCTTCTAAATAAACTACCATAAAATGATAACATGAACAAGGCAGAAACCATATTACAGTCAGTGATAAAAGGCAGCAATGTGCTTTGTGTCAGTGGACTTTGACCTGAAGTCACAGGGAGATATTAAGCTGATCATATCAAATGTTTCATACGATTTTATATCACCTCATCTTTTGTCCCATGACCCTTGACCCCTGTGATTACATGCTGAAACAATTATTTATATATATTGCTTTATTTTTTTTAAGAGTACCAGTTCAGAAACAAAGGTCTTAAGTTACATGTTTCAAGATAACAGGTAGATTTGAAAAAATCAACCATATAATAATCTGTCATTTTCTGTTCTTTTCCTAGAACGTTAATGTGCACCGTACTGCCGAGGACGCCCTACAGACCGTCCCGCCACACCTCTGACCTACAACCACTCCGCCTTCTCACCGTTCACTACACCTGTGTCTCTGATCCAAGCCTGGGATTACCATTAAAAGGTCAACCCTGCCTTCAGATAGACTCCCGGTCAAGTTTTGGTCTGTCTTGTAAACCTGGAATCAGTTGATGTGTAAGAGATCTACTGGTTGTATATAGTATGTGGTTTCTCACTCTATTTTTTGAAAGAGCCATTATCAGTTTACATGGCATGAGATACACGGAGCCCGGGAGATTTTTGTTTGCACTTAAGGGGTGTGGGAAATATGTGTTCCAGATGGATGTTGAATTAAATACTATGGTTCTTATATGTATATATATCTACAGATATGTCAATCATACCTATGGGATCTGCAGGTATGTATTTTGCTGCTCCAATATTTGTGCTCTCATTTTGTCAAATCTAAAAGGAAATCTCTCTGTTATTTTGAGGGATGGATGACAAAAATGTTGCTTGTTTGTGTGTGTGTGTACATACAAATCAAAGAAAAACACTCATTGTGTCAAAGAATTGTATTTACTTCAACTCCCTCTAATGAGAGCATCTTTATCTTTTTCTTCATTTTTTATATGCTTTACGAGTTTAAAAATAAACATTGACCTTTTTCATCTGACATTTAAATCAGACACTGATTATTGAAGTGCTAGTTATTTTAAATCAACACTGACAGTTGCTCAAGCAGGTATTTTTAAAACCTTTACATTTTATTCAGAGTAATTTTGCAAAATAAACTGACTTTCCAACAGTGATTTTAACTGCATTTTTTCTGAAAAATGTAAGTGCTTGTGAGAAACAACATAAGCTGTTTGTTACATTAACAAATTTGGGAACAAGATAAAAATCTCAGTATTTGTATTCATAATGTTAAACATCAATTTCCATATAAGGATTCAAATATAGTACAATCCGAGTCTGTAATTCCTTTTGTCCAGTAAAACATGTTTAGATCGATCGAAATGTTGCCTCGAACCATATCCAAAGAGTGCTGTGATAATTACTGTACTTTTGAAACAGATCTTGACTATATGAATGAGATTTTCTGGAGTATGACTGGTTGTATTATGATTTAGTGCCAGTATCACACTAAAAATATAAAGATATATTTTGATGTAATAGTAAATTTTAATTTATTGAATGTATTAATACATACAAATATATAAAGATATGTTTTGATGTAATGGTGCATCAATAGTAAATTTGAATTAATTGAATGGACTGTCTGTGTATCCAAATAAATGTTGATTCGAGATAATAAAGAGACAAATATTGTATAGCTAGCAGCATATTGGGTAAATAATCTATTTGATGTCAAATTACATGGTATCTTTTGTTGAAACACTGAAAAAACAATCTATGTTTGTGTGTGTTTGAATTGTATCTCCTCCTTGAATAAACATTGTGTGGTGATTTGTCGAAATATTTTATTTAAGCCTACTAATACAGCAAAAAGCAATAAGCCACTTAACTAAAAGACCTGAAAGTCATAGAACATTAAGGATAATTACACATTTCTCCAAACAGTATTTTCATACACGTATACTGTAGCATATTTCTGAAGCATCTTTTTATAATTTAACCACTATGCATTATTTGTTGGAGAGCCCCTTCAGATAACACCCTTAAGCCTTTTGAATCATTGTTTTGCAGTGTTTTTAGAAGTTATATATAAATATATATATATTACAAAGTTATATATAAATATATATTACAAAGTTATATATATTACAACACATTACACATATTACATCACACACACACACAAACATGTATATATATTAGTGCTGGGCAAGTTAACGCGTTATTATCGCGTTAACGCATTTATTAATTAATGCCGACAATTTTTTTATCGCGCGTTAACGCATGTTTTTTTTTATTATTATTTTGAAAGTCCGTTGCTCACTGGCTCTGAATACACATAGGCCTAAAGTCAAACCATGATCACAGGAGGGGTGGGATGTTGGTCAGCCAGCAAATAACCCACCCAAACCAGCAGTGGAGAGAGGCTTTGGCAGGTTCTCTCAGGTGAACAGAAAGGGAGACAGCGCTCCGCGAGTGAATGACAGGCGCTCTATGGATAGTAACCATGGCAACGGCTTCTGTGCGCTACGCAGAGGTAGCCTTTTTAACTTAAATTAAAATTATACATAACTTTACCTGATAGGCCTGCGTTTAGTTTAGCGGGGATGCTCTGCCATGTGAATTCCCTCCTGTTGATGTCCTGATAACTATTTAGATTCTGGAAACTCACAAACAGCGAGCCGAGGATCAGTCTCTCTTCCAATGATTTGTGCTGCGCGTCGTGTACAAAAAGTTAGACAATTCCACTTCGGCAACGCGCGGGCGCGTGCGTGAGGCGAGCCTGACCGCAACAGTTTCACAGGAACGCACCCGCTTGTCGCTGCACCTCTGCTTGACCACTTCACCTCACTCTAGGCTGATTTATAATTCTGCGTCGGACCTAAGCCGGAGCCTCTACGCTATAGACTACGCGTTGGTTTTCATTTATATCTGCGTCGTTGTCAGCGTTGACGCGCAATTACACATGCAGAGGGAAAGTGTGAAACCCGGGGAGCGGTTCTAGCAATCACAGCGCTTGCGGTACGCGTAGAATTTACGTTACATTTTTGGAGAGATGCACGTCAGGGTACGCGCGCTACACAGCTACGGCGTGAGTTCGACGCAGAAGTATAAATTGGGCTTTACCTCTGTTTAATGTAATCTTACGTGGGAAACCATGGCATGCCATGACCAAACCTAAGCTGCTATCAGAGAAGTAACGTTGGTCGACTTATATCTGTATTGTGCTGCTGCTCCCTGACACAAGATACCTGTTCAGAAAAAAAAAACAAGAAAACTGGACTCTTTTAACAAGCTAGATAAAAGGTAATGCCCTGGCAGTGGCAAATAGCTTTGTTTAAATATTTGATTTGATTACATTAATGTTTAAGTTGAGATTTACAAGAAATATTTTATTGATACTGTGTAAAGGGAATATTGCTGGTATAAAAGCACCTTATTTGTTTAAAGTTTTTGGAAACCACATGTTATTGCACTTTTGTAGCAGTACATTTAAATCAAAAGTGCGCAATACACTACTTTAGAATTCATTATTCAATTTTGCGCGTAACAATGCGATTAATGGCGATTAATCGCAAGAAAATCATGCGATTAATCGCGATTAAATTTTTTAATCGTTGCCCAGCACTAATATATATATATATATATATAAGCTGTTTATTTATTTTTATACAACAATATAAACAGGCAATAGAAGACAGAATAAGCATGCATATGTAGGAAACAACTTTGTTCAAGTACACGTATTCTCTCAACAGGCATACAGCCTCTCGGTCAGGGTGAATAATCTGTGAAGGACAAACGTATGCAATAATAATAATAATAATCTAAAACAAGAGGGGCTTGAATTATTAATAATTGAAATCAGACAGAACTCTGCCTTATAATTAAATTTTAGCCTACAATTAAGGGTGTACTCACACTAGCCAGTTTGAACCGTGCCCGAGTGCGTTTGACCACCAAAGCGCGGTTCGTTTGACTAGTGTGAGTGCTCCGAACCGTGCCCGGGCGCGGCTCGATTAGCCGGCCCTGGCCCGCTTGGAAGAGGTGGGCCAGAGCACGGTTCAGTTGGACTCGGGCGCGGTTCGCATGCAGTGTGAGCGCTAACCGTGCCGGAGCACGGAACAGGACGCGTGGCGTCATGGTTTTGCGACGCTCCAAAACCAACACAGTCCGTAATCAAAGCTGCAAAATCCTTGCTGCACTTCAGCTGGTACCTTGCAAACCTCCTCATACGAGCAGCACGATTACGTGAAAATTTTCGCGCCACTAAGGTGACGCATATGTTTAACAACAGGCTGTGGACCACCGTGGACCAAACGACACAAAATTATCCACAAAGAAAACAGAGCGATGGACTTCATTGTGTTCAGAGAGCGCCGCTCTTCTTGTTTATCCCGAAACCGTCGCACGCACCATAATGACGTAAGCGTGCTCCGGCACGAATGCTGAAACCCTATGTGAGTGCAGGCCAGAGGGGGAGTGGGGAGGGGGGACAATCGTACTGGGGCCCGGTTCATGGCAACCGTGCCTAGTGTGAGTACACCCTGATATTCAAATGTGAAATCATTCAATGAATATACAATGTATAGACCAACAATTATTAAAATATATTTTAATAAAACTACACAGAACAAGAGATTATGCTACATTCTCGCCAAAATGTTGGATGGATTTGGAGTGCTATTACACTCGTGATCTATCTATTCAGTTTCCTGCAAGTTACCCTTCCGTCAATGTCGTTGGGTTATGATGGCTGATGAGGTAAGCGCAGCGTAGTGCTTGGGTCACTCTATCATGAATAATTAAAATAGAATAAATGTGTTGTGTCACGTTGACACTGCCTGTCGTAACGGTTTGTAATCATTCTCATGACTATTAATGTGGTGATGCACACCTT